TGAACAAGATATGAATCTCTTGAAAGAAAGATTTAGAAAAGTGGTAATTTTTAGCTTATTGCACATAAGAAATGTTCATATTATGGGGTACTATGTAAAGTTTCAGTCTATTCAACACTGTATCATATTACCATCAGGACAGATTTTGAAGCATATTGACCTTATGTCATGGCTTGGATCTATATTGTCCCCTAAGACTAATGTGTTGAAGGCTTGGTTCCTAATGCAGCAATGGCCAGAGGYAGGCTTTAAAAAAAGTGATTGGATCATGAGGACTTTGACCTCCTTATTGATGGATTCATAATTTGATGGCATTTTCTGAGAAGTGGTGGACACCTTAGGAGGTGAGGCCTTGTCGGAGAAAGTGGGTCACTAGGTGTGTCCTTAAAGAGTATACCCTGTCCCTCTCTTACTCTTGTTTTATTTGCTTCCCTGTGACTGTAAGACAAGCAGTTATGAACTATCACATTCTCTCTGTCATGACATTCAGTCTTGCCTCCCGTCAAAGAGGTGGGACCMAGTGRCCAGGGACTGAAATGTCTGAAACCATGACCCAAAAGGAATTGTTAGTTGTTTTTCTCAGTCATGTTGTCACAGTGATGAAAAGCTCCCCAGCACAGCTGAATTTTAAATAAAAGAAATCAAATAAAAGATGTCTGAGTTCCCCAAATATTAAAGCAGGCTTTCTGTTCAGTAGCAGATAACATTTAACTTATAAATCATTGTTGGATATTCCTGTTTCAGGTGCTAATTAAATTTGAATCCCAATACAAATTCATAATATAATAAAAGGTAGTTAGAAAAAGTAAAATGAATCTTAACATGATGCTAATATTTTGAAGCATTGGAAACTTCAGCTGATAAATTATCTTCCAGAAGCATAATTATAACACTTTTGCTGCAAACAGAAGCTTGATGTATATAAAATAAATCTGACTTGGTATCCTGACTATGATGCCAGTGGATCAAGAGCTTAAATACCTTAACACTGATGATGAAGATAACTGGTTGGTTGTTTGTCTTTAAAAAGAAAGGGTCCTGAGTATGGCCAGTTGCCCTTCCAACTATGAACTGGCATCCTTTCCTTGTTATGGAGGAAGAACAAACAATTGGTTCTCTTAAGTTGGTTTTCTTTGGCATTTGGGACTGGTAATGTCAATGTAAGTCTATTTTCAGATTTAATTTGCCCCAACCACATGTTATTAGAGTGGTAAATAGTGACAGTTAGTAAATTAACTTCTCTCAGTATAGATAAACACAATCTGATTTCAGTTAACGCCTTTCCAATGGAAAAATCTGTTTAAAAGTCATGGTATTTCCTCCATGCTGTGCCATAAAAGGAGAAAGTCTTGGCTTTCTTTGATGGCTTCAGTTCCAGTCCTGCTTCATTTGGGACAAATAGAGATCATTCCCTAGTTCTTTATCCATTAAGTGAGAGGAATCAAAATGTTCTGTCTGATTTCATGTCTTCGGAGTGAACTTATCACCGGATGCCCACATAGCAGAAGCTAAACAGTCCCAGTTGATTTGATCTGTCTTTCAGGCTGGCCACCTGTCCTGTTACACAGTTTTCCTCTCATCGACCCTTTAAAATGTATCATGATCTTGAACCCAGTCTGGTCACTGGCTCCCCTGATTTAATCCATGCACTGTGTCTTTGCTCTCTCCCTGAGTCCTTGCTCCAGTAACTACTTGTATCAATAAGACCACTTACCTATCAATGACAAAATTGTTTCAAATTGTTCTAATGAAAAAAAAATCGGGGAATATTGGTCAATAGGATTTTAAATTTCAAAAGCAATGTTCACTGCAGGACTACTGAGATCCAGCAGCTCAACAATGTCAGTAAGTCTCCTATTGGCTTCTCTTGCCTCATTTTCATCTCTGTCATATTAACAATATAAACCCAGGGCTTCCTAAGTTGTAGAGGAGATGGCCACTGTCAGCTCCAGCTGTGTAAACTACTAGCTTACTAGCTTCTTATAGTTCCAACAAAGTTCTAGGCTGGAGGATCATTGGTTCTTATTGGCTTAGTTAAATCACATGATGCTACTTAAAGCACATAGATCATTACTGTGGTATATCAGATAAAATTAGGTTGTTCTAACCATAAAAGGCAAACTGGATTCTAGATAATCATAAACATCTACCTACCATCCACCACATGCCATGTAGGAGAGAGTGTCCTACTCAGCATAGACACTAGATGTGCTCAGTGTTCCTGGGTGTCAATATTTTCAGCTTGAAGAACAAGGAAAAGTGTATATACTAATGTATGTAGAGACACAGATCTATAAACTTTTTTATGTAACTGTATCTAAATTAAGCTAAATGTGAGTTCATATCATTGTCTTCTACACTAATTAATTAATTCATGGGACATTACAGTGACTTCCTTTTGCTTACCTGGCAGTGAAAAATGTAACCCCCAAATCCACCATCCATATACTTATTTGTTGAATTCCAKCTTTTATATGTGATAACATCACAGTCATTAACACATGCACTATATTGGACTGCAGTGTTTATATACAGTTCCTCTTTTCTTTGGTCTTATAGACTTTATTCATTTCCACAGTTACATAGGATAGCACATTTCCCTCACATCAATGAGTTGTTTCATATATTTATGTCACAGTTAGCTTGTTAATTTATAATTTCATCCTGGATCTCTTTTCCTCCCAAATGATTTTTTTTTTGTACCAGAAATTGAATCCTGGGGCACTGAGCCACTGAGCCACATCCCCAGTCCCCAGGCCCTTTTTTGTAGCACCACTGAGCCCAGCCCTCCCTAGTGATTTTTGGATTTGCATACATTAAGGTTTGCTCTTTCCTTTTTCTTTTTTTTTTTTTTTTGATATTAAGGATTGAACCTAGAGGCACTTTAAAACTGAGCCATACCCCCAGCCATTTTTATTTTATCTTTTTTATTTTGAGGTGAGAGTAGGATTTCACTAATTTGCTGAGGATCTCTCTAAATTAGCCAGGTGGCCTGGAACTTGTGATCCCCCTTCCTTTCAACCGCATAGTGCCATGTGTGTGCAACTGCAGTATCATACAGACTACATTCATTGCCATAAAACATTGCCTGTAGGCAGCCTATTCATCCATCCTCTGAATGCTTGGCAATCCATAGTTTTTATTATCTTCACAATAGTTTTGTCTTTTCTGAGAGGTTTCAAATTGTCTTTCTAGACAGGCATCTTTCACTTAGCAATATACATTTAGGATTGATACATGTATTTAATTTTTGTTTCCTTGACACTTTAAAGATTTCTACTTTTTTTCTATTTATCTCAAATGAGATTTAGCATCTTGAGTATGTATCTAGGTGATAATTTGGAAGCTTTTCCTGACCAGATTTTACTCAACTTCCTGAACATGTAGGGTAATATTTTGTGATGAAAATATTTTGGGATATTTTCTTACCATTATCTTTTTCAATGATTGTATGTACTTCCTCTGTATCTTTTTGGACTCCAATCATATGTACRTTGTGGTGTTTAATATTATCCTATGTGTCTCTGAGGCTTTCCATCTTTTTTCAATATTTCTGTTATTTGAACTATAATTTTCTCTTATTCTTAATTCGATTTCCTACTTTTTCTTCTCTATTAAATATGCTCTCGAGTTCATCTGATATATTTTTCAATTTAATTACTGCATTTTTTAGATCTAAATTTTCCATTGTTGTCTTTCTYGTAGTTTTCATTTCTCCCTCACAATTTTTCATTCATTCATTATTTGAATATATCTCTTAGATTACCTTAACATGTTCCTTGTAACATATCTGTATCATGTGCACTGAAATATTTGCTCTAGCTAATATGTGGTCCCCCTTAGAATCATTTTCTATTGCTTTCTTGTTTCCAAAGCAGATAAAACATTTTCCTGCATCTCTAAATTCTCAAAAATTTTTGGTTTTGAACTATCCATTACAGAGAGCTCATTGTTACAACTTTGCATTCTGTCTTAAAAAAAAGTACTTTTCCTATCTATGAAAAATTTTCATTTATTTCCTTGTTTGTTTATTATTTACTTAGTTTTTCTATATAATTAGTAGTCAACCAATGATTTGAAGTTAAGTATTTTACACTTTTGTTGCTTGAATTTTGTGGAAGTTGAAGAATACATTTAGATGTATAGGGGATTCATGTTTCCTAGTGCATTCAATATTGCCAGACTCTTTTCCCCATGCATACATGTAATTTAGAAGTCAGATAGAAATGTGTGAAGAGTTACGGCCAGAGCCCTTCTACAGATCTCCTCTCTCCATGTCCGTGATTTAAATTTCTTACTGTTCTACTACCTGACCCAAACTGAGTCCACCACCTCTTGCTAGCAAATATTTTGAGTTTTATTGCTCAAGCTGAGAGAGAGACATTCATCAGACAAGAAAGTTATAAATCTGCTATTCCTGTTTAGAATAATAAAGACACAATGTGTAGTAAAGACATAAACCAATATGTTTATGTMAGTAAATTACTTATCTTTCTAAAAACATTTTATGTATGTACACACACATTTTGCTTAACAATGTGGATACACTCTGAGACGTGTTGTTAAGTGAACTTGTTCACACATGGACATGATACTCTGCACTTTCCAAAACCTAAATGGTGTGGCCTACTACATGCCTAAGCTAATTAGTCTGTATGGCATGGCCTACTGTTCCTAGGGCCATGATGAACAAAACAACATGAGATTGTRTAAAGCACAAGAGAAAGTGATGCCATCAAGAGATGCAATACGCATGGAATGTATAAGGCACCACCAGCAGAGCATGCAGAATGTCTTACAGCACACATTTTTAAAAATGTTCCCATTAGTGCATAATATTTACCCATAATAGTGTTTTGACCTACTCATACCTACTCATGGAACATGATTTGCTCCACTTCAGTCCCCAGTGCTTCCTCTCTCCTTCCCTCCTTCTTCCCCCTATTCCCCTTTTTCTACACTGCTAGTATTTCTTCTATTTATTTATTGTTTCTTTAATTAAAAAAGTGGAATACTTTACAAATTTGCATGTCATCCTTGTGCAGGGCCCATGTAATCTTCTCTGTATCATTTCAATTTTAGTATATGTGCTGCCAAAGCGAGGATGATGGTGGACATTTTAATGTAAGCAGAAGAGGTACTCTCGAAAATAATGACAATATGCATAGTAAACACATTAGCCAGTAGCATAGTCATTTGTTGTCATTATCAAGTGTTTTTTATTATGCTTTATGTATTGTGCTCTTGTATGACTGACAGCACAGTAGGTCTGTTACCTTGAGCACTACCACAACATGAGCAATGTTTTGTGCTGTGACCTTGTGATGGCTACAGAGTCACTAGGTGACAGAAATTTTACAGTTTCATGATGATCTTATGGCCCTACCTGGATCATGATTGACCCAGACATTGCAATGTGGCACACGATCATAATAGCAGTGTGGACATGTTAATTTCTATCTGCAAATTTTTCTGCATCTTTCTTTTCCTGTAAGAAATATTTTACATGCACAAAGACAATTCTAAATTTCTTTGTGTATTTATTTTATTCAATAAATATAAATTAAATTTATGTATTTGATACTTACATACTTCAATATTTTTTAAATATTTTGTTATCAAGAAAAATGCCACAACTAGCAACTCACCCCCAATTTTAGCAGCAGTTTTTGAATCAAAAGTTCATAAGTAGTTTGGCTGTTGGTTCTAAGAAGCTCTAGAAGTAATTAGTTCTCCATCCATTCCAAGTCAGGCAGGCCTTCAGTTTTAGTGTCTGGCTTCTTTTACTTTTAATTATGTTTTTGAGTTTCTTTTATGTTCTTATGCAAGCATGTATCATCACTTCTTTTCTTCTTAGGGCTGAGTGACATCACATCACATGGAAGTACCAGTTTTGTTTATTGCTTCATCAGCTGATTGGTGTTGGTTTATAAATCATATTGCTGTGAACATTGTGTGTATGTGTGTGTGTGTGTGTGTGTGTGTGTGCACTTCCAACTTTTGGATATATACCTAGAGTGGAATTGCTAGGTTGTATAGTGACTATTGCTAATCTTATGAGCAATACCATTGATTTCTGTATCTTGATGTATTGACATTACCAAACCATACTTTCAAAATGAAAGCTATTAGCAATGTTACGGGAGTTTTTGTGGAACAAGCACATTGTTTTTCTTTTGCCCACAATTTATTTATTTAGTTTACCCAATAAATGGTTAAGAAACAGAACTGGAAAGAAACAAAAACTAATTACCAATTAAGAAAGTGTATCATTATAGACTCTGATAGATACCTGAGAAGAAATACTTGCTCCTCCACCTTCAAATCCATTTCTGGGAATAGGGCATTTGATGACTCATTTTCTACCCATTATAGGTAATAGGCGGCTTCTCTGGGGTGCTTTAAGGTTGTGTCAGCTTAAATGAGTTCTGTTGTTTTTGACAATGGTGACAATGTACTCTTGTTTAAAGAGTAAACCAAACATCTCTTGGAATAAGAAAACCAAAGAACATTGCATTCCATATTATTTTCCTTGATTTCTATGATTTTTCTCACTGGCTATAAACTAAAGAAAAACATTGCTTTTCTATCTGAAGAACTTTGCTACTTTGCATCAAAGACAATCAGAACTTCATTAAACAATTCAGAATTGTGTACAAAACAACAATGATTTTCTACTGTGATTTTGGCAGCAGTTTTGTGTTGAAATATTTCATCTTCATTTTGATTCAGAGCTTTTGTGCTTTTTGGTTTTGTTCCTTCAAATATGCAGTTTAGGTACAAATGTTTGCAGATGTTCCAAACTTGATTTATTAAAATGGTTTCAGTACAAATCCCCTATGCAATTAAATGCCTATTCATGTGTTCTTTTCACAATGAAATGTTGTTAACAAATAGCTCTAATATAATAGCATAACAGTTAAGGGAAAACTTGGGTGCAAGTGGCTAATAGGTATGAGCTGGTTTGACTTTTTTAAAAAAGTAGCATAGTTTTGTTTACTCTGATTAAAAAGCACTCTGTGCACACTGTGGAAAATTTAGAAAGGACAGAATAGTGCAAAGACTACATGTGGCATTTAATCCCAAACTCAGAAATGAGCATTCTCCTTTGCTATTTGTAGTTTCCAGTATTCTCCTTATTCTTATCTTGAGATTTAGGAATTCAGGAATTTTACTTGGATTCGTCTCAATAACCATCTCTTTTATGAATTTTGCCAGAAGAGAATATATGTCACACTGCCTTGGGCTTGATTGTCTTCCTTGAAGTGCTTCTTCCTATCCCACTAGGAAAAGARTCCCACGTGCTTGCTACAGCTGAGCCAGCACGCCCACCTCCRGCCTTCTCCTGCTCTGGCTCACCCTCCCTCTCCAACCTCATCACCACTGAATTCTCATCAATCCATGTTTTAGATGTGAGGACTCAAGGAATTACTGCTCTCTTTTTAGTTTAGAAAATGTATTTGTACTTTTTCTTTAGTTATTGCTTGTTTACTTTTTTCCTCTCCTCCTKAAATCTGTGATGTGTATTATTTTCATGTGTGAAGCCTATTTTAGATTGCACATATAGTAAGTCAGAGTGAGCAGTATGTTTCTTGCTGTGTGCTGTTTATTTTACTCAGCATGAAAGTTCTCCACGTTGTCATAAATGGCAGCTTCTTGTTAAAGGCTGGTGATGTTACATTGTGTATATATATAACAATCTTTCTTTATCTAATCATCTGTGGATGGACACTTGGGTTATTTCCCTTCTTGACCTATTAGGGCTGATGCTTCAGTGAATATAGGGATGCAGATTATCCCTGTGAGGCACTAATCTCATGTATGTAGAGTACACATATAGAAGACAGACAGCTGGATTATATGGTAGTTATAGTTTTCCTTTTATTTTTGAGGAACCTGTGTATGATTCTCCATTAATAGCTTTACCAGTGCACACGTCCACCAACAGGGTACCATGGCTTTCCTTTCCTGTACCTTCGCCAACACATGTTACWTTTTGTCTTTGGCAGTAGCTAATCCAAGGGTTGTGAGCTGATACTCATTTTGGTTTTGACTTGCATTTTCCTCAAATGCAAAATACTAGCCTCGTTGAGTTCTTTTTCATCCATCTTTTGGCCATTTGTATGTCTTTATTGGAAAAAAAATAGTTACTCAGGTTTTTGTCCATTTTGTAATTAGAAGTTATTTTATTTATTTGTTCATTTACTTATGTTATATTGAGTTGTGTGAGTTTGCTATGTGTTTTGGATATTAACCCTTTATCAGATGTATGATTTGTAAATATTTTCTTCTAATCATATGTTGCCTTTTYATTTTCTAGATTGTTTCCTCTGCTGTGCAGAAAAGTTGTCGTCTTGTTTATTTTAGCTTCCATTGATTGAACTTTTGGTGTCATACCCAACAAGTTTTGCAGAGACCTATTCCATGAAAATGATCCACTGTGTTTTCTTCTAGGAGTTTTATTAAATTTTACTTGTTAGTGTTAATCTAGYTTTACTTGATTTTTAGGTGTGATCTAAGTGTCCGATTTCATTCTTTTCCATATGGGTATTCAGTTTTCCAAGAATCATGCATCAAAGAGTCTGTCCTTTTTCCATTGTGTATTCTTGGTGTCCTTATGAAATCTTCATTGGCCGTGCAGGCCTGGATTCATTTCTGAACTCTGCACTCTGTCTCATTGGCCTGTAGGTCTGAATCATGATGCTTCAGTTACTATGGTTTTGTAATGTAATTTGAAATCAAGAAATGTTTTTCTTCATTTCTTTTTTTGGGGATCTTGATGGAGATTGTGTTAAATGTGTACATTGCTTTGAGTATTATAGATATTTTAACAATATTGACTTCTCATTCATGAATAAGAATATCTTTTCGTTAATGTKTCTCTCATTTAGTTTCTTTCATCAATATTTCATAGTTTTCAGTGTGTGGATCTTTCACTTCCTCAAATATTCATAATTTTCTGTGTTTAGTCATATAGCCTATTCTTTAGTTTATAAGTATTTTATCATTGTTAATGCTATCATAAGTGGGCTGRTTTTCTTGATTACCCTGTTGGATAAATCATTGTTAATGTATAGAAACAACTGATTTTTATGATGGGGTTTTTAGCATGCAACTATATCAATTCTGTTAATTAACTCTAATTTTTTTGTTAAATATTTAGAGTTTCCTATGTATAAGGATATGTCATCTGCAAATAGATAATTTTCCTTCCTCAGTCTCTGTTTGCATGCTTTCTATTTCTTTTTCTTATCAGATTCCTCTTTCTGGTGCTTCTGCTACTATGTTGAACAGAAGTGTTGGGCACTCTTCCCTTGTACCAGGTCTTAGAGAAAATAACTTTCATTTTTTTCCCCATTGACTATGATGTTAATTGTGAGTTTTTCATAAATGTTCTTTATTGCGTGAAGAAATTTTCTGTTTAAATTCCTATTTTGAGTTTTTATCATGAGTGGATGCTTAGCTTTGCAAAATGCTTTTTCTGCATCTATTGAGATGATCAGGTAGTTTTGATCTCCCATTCTGTTAATGTGATATGTCACATTGTTTGATTTGCATATGTTAAACTAACCTTGCATAATAGAGATAAATCTCACTTGATCCTGATGCATAACCTTTTAGATGAGTTCCTGCATTTGGTTTGTCAGCATTTATTTAGGGTTTTCTGCAGGTGTGTTTATTCAGGGACTGGCCTGTAGTTCTCTTTCCTCATTCCCCACACCCCCAGCTTTGGTACTGGGACAATTCTGGCCTCTTAAAATGAGTTTGGAAATATTTCCCCCGTGGAGAGATCTTTTCTCATTTTGTTTTTATTACTGCAAAATTTACAGCATGACAGTTCTTTAGCTTGCCTACTCCTTGTCTCTCTTTTTTTCTGGTCTGAGCTGGAAAGACTGCACTGCAAGTGAATAGTTATATGCTTAGCGTTTAAATGAACACAAACAATTAGCTATGCTAATGACAATTATGCTGAAAGTGCACTTCCATTATGTTCTCATCTGTTTAATGGCAATTTTCAAAATCTAAATATGTTTAAGGGGCATTTACATAGCACGTTTGATTAATTTTAATAGCAATTATCATAAGTAAAACAAATTTGTGA